CCAGTTTCCATGCCTGGCGCCCCTGCGGCTCAGGGATCAGATGCTTCAGAGCTCGAAATTAATCAACCTGAACAGGAGCTTACGCCGCAGGTTAGTTCCCATGAGCCAGAAGCACCTGCCTCCCTTGATGCGCCAGAGGTTGAGCTCAACTCTGCAGCTCCTTCTGTTTCGGTGCAGCCGACTAGTGAGACTGTGGAGTCTCTGGCTCCAGATGCCACCAATATTCCCGTTCCTGAGTCTGATGAGGGTCTAGTGTCCGAGACGGTGTTGTTGGCTAGTCATGTCCTTGATCCTCTAAGCACCCAGGATGACCGCCTTGTAGACTTTGTCACTCTCCACACGAGTGAAGAGTTCGCCGGACCTCCACTGGCTGAAGACAACCTTCCTTTTGTAGAATGCCCATTGGAATGTCAAGAGCATCAGGCCTTTTGCCTCGAAGTGCCCGTCAAGCCCAAGGATCTCAAAAAGTGGAGCCAGGAAACTTCCCCCGAACAGCTTGCAACTTTGGCTTCCATAAGCAAAAGGGCCCGGTCTGAAGTGAGTGTTAAGGATTTAACGCCGCATGAGTTGTCCCTTTTTGAACAAGCCAAAGCCAAAGAGTTGCAGTGCTGGATCCAGACTTCAGCAATCCGCGCTGTGCTTCGCCGACGGTTGAATCCCGACCAAATCCTGAAAAGTCGGTGGATCTTGACTTGGAAAGCCCCAGAGCCTGGTGACACACAACCCCGCGCTAAGGCCCGCTTAGTAGTCCTTGGGTTCCAAGACCCTAAACTAGTTGAGGTGATGAGAGATGCGCCGACGTTGTCAAAGGAAGGCAGATCTTTGGTCCTTCAGACAATTGCATCAAGTAAATTTCCTCTGGGATCCTTTGACATCAAGACAGCTTTCTTGAGAGGGAAGGCCGATGAAAATAATCCCTTGGCCATGGAACCACCCAAGGAGCTCCGTAAACTCCTTAATCTCCGTGACGATGAAGTGTGCCAGTTGTTGGGTAATGCCTACGGGAGAGTTGATGCCCCACTTTTGTTTTACAAAGAGCTTTCCTCCCAATTGGAAGCGCTGGGATTTATTAAGCATCCACTTGAGCCGTGTGTGTTTCTTCTGTATACAGGGAGCAAGCTAAGTGGCATCTTGGGAATTCATGTCGATGATGGTGTATGTGGTGGCGATTCCCTGTTTTTAAGTAAGATTCAAGCCCTACAACAAACACTGCCATTTGGGAGTAGAAAGTTTCGAGACTTTGTCTTTTACCGGGATCAGGCTGGAGCAAATGCCAGACTTTACTATTCGGGCCTCTCAAAGTGACTATGTCCGCCAGATCCTGCCTATCAACATTGGTCGAACCCGTCGTCAGCAGCTGGAGTCCAGCATAACCGAGGATGAAAGATCGAAGCTTCGTGGTTTAGTCGGTAGTCTTCAATATGCTGTTACCCATACTAGGCCCGACTTAGCTGCCAAATTAGGAGAGGTTCAAAGCCAAATCACCTCGGCTACTGTACAAACTCTGCTTTCGGCAAATCGCGTGTTGCGTGAAGCCCAGGAGTTCGAGCAAGTGTGCATTCACTACCTTCCCATACCAGTTCAAGAGCTGACCTTTGTCTCCTTTGGCGATGCCTCTTTTGCATCCTCCAAGAACTTGAACTCCCATCAGGGAGTAGTTCTGTGTGCCACTGACTCCAGGCTAGGCCAAAATAAGGAAGCCCCGCTCTCCCCTGTAGGTTGGTTTTCTAAGAAGATTCCTAGAGTAGTCCGCTCCACCTTGTCTGCCGAAGCCTACGCCATGTCAAAGGCAGTTGATCTCCTAGGCTGGCTTCGCGCCCTCTGGGGTGTTGTCCATGTTCCTTCGTTCGATTGGCGACAACCCGAGCAGAGCTATAAACTGTTGAATACGGCCCTGGTAGTCACCGACTGCAAATCGCTTTACGACTTAGTCACTCGGCTCGCGATGCCGTCGTGCGAAGAACACCGGACTACTTTGGAAGTCCTCCTGATCAAGCAAAGATGTGCGGAAAATTCCCAGTTCAGGTGGGTGCCGACCACCCTTCAGATCGCAGATTCCTTGACAAAGAATATGGACTCCTCACTTCTCCGAGCTATCCTTGCGCAGGGGAGATTTCGTCTTTTTGACAATTCAGAGTCCCTCGCGCGAGATGCCCAGCGAAGGAAGGCCATTGAGTGGCTTACCCAACCATCCGATATGTCCGCACTT